AGCAGAATCTTCATTTAGAAGTATAGGTTACATAGAACCATATCCTGGTCTTGAACCCCTCGGATATCATTTGTTCCTAGTTTTAATGGCAAACACATCACCAAAACCAGCTGTTAACCACTGACAAAAAGGAGTTTTGTGTTTTATAAGGGTTAGATCTCGTTTCAGAAACACTGTTTATCAAAATAATTCTGTACAGATATTTGGAGGATGTTTTGTCAAATATTAAGCATGTTATGCTGCTTAAAGTGTTTTCATGTGAATGCTTTATTGTAATGAAAATCTTGAGCCTGATGTTGATATGTTTGAACAGTTGTACTGACCAAAGTAATTTTGGGGATCACAATTAAATGGAAATGTTCTGCTTGATCTCAAATGTTTATATGAGTCTGCCACTCAGTGCCAACGCCTCACCTTAACAAGCCTCCCATCTTGGAACGCTTTGTGCTCAGCTACTGTCAAAACATACTTTGTCCTGTAAGTTTCCAAAACACCACAGCATGATCAACATCAGCAAGAGGCAGCCATCTTCAGAAAGGTCCCCAAAAGCACCAACATAAATCCATGAAAATTCTTTATGCAAACAAACAAAAATAATTTTCCTTTAACAGGGGAGCACTTGAGTTTACTTGCCTTGATACATGTAGAAAGTCAAATGAAATCTCTACACAAATATTTGCAGCAGAAGCCACTTTTCCACCAGTTCAGCTGGAGAACAATATTACTCAAGTTCCTACTGCAACTACAGATAAAGATCTGCCTGAATTCTTTGCAATTAAACCACTTAACTATGGTTTGTTGCTTACTAGCAACCAACAAATAGAATACACTCACCGTACTTCCCAAGGCAGGAAACAGTACCTGGCAGAGTGGAAGGTGGGACTGCCACCTGCAGACACACCGCCTGTACCAATACCGGACCACACCTTTGCAGCCAGCCCAAAGCAGCACACCAATGTTATTGGTACTGTATGCAATGACAGAATTAAATATCAACAGTGTATAATAAGTATTTAAATAAGCAAAGGTATATTATTATTAATAATAATTGGGGTTTTATTTTAGTATTTTATTAATATTTTATTATTATTAGTCATCATTACTGATGAGAAATACATGTGGTCTGGAAGAGCTTTAAGCAAGAATAGCCCATCTTCAGTAGCTGACCTTAGAGCTTCCCTTAGCAAACATGTACAATAAGCCTGAGGTGTTCCTCCTGCCCACAGGATTGCTGGTGTGTCAGTAGTGGACTGGACTTGCAGCACACAACATCATCAACACTAATCCCTTCTGTAATGAACTCAAGGATTCCCAACCACCCACAGATTACAAAGCCTTCTGAGCAATACTGGAATTGCCTGCCACAACTCAATGGCAGTACACAATGACAAAATGGGAGCACCCCTACTGTCCGGCTGCAAACACAGATGGGCGTTCAGAAGTAGCCTGGCTAAAAGGACTGACTGGGCAAGTGTGCCTTTTTTTAGGGTGACAGACTATTACCTCACCTGCCCGACCGTCCTGCTCAGCTTTAGCACCCTCCTCCATGCTGACCACATGCATTACTGAATTATCTTCCTCAGCCTCCCTAAGCATAACAAGTCTTGTAAAATAAAGCTACAAGTTTGTAGAGGTTGATTTGCCACATGGAAGTTAAAAGGTTATTTTTCTGCTAGGTATTATGAGTAGTTTCCATATGTTCAAAGGGGCTTTTAACAGGTTTCCTTCCACTCCCGATCACCAGAGATCCATGTGCCCCCAAAGGCCTGGCTTCCACATCTGCATCTACCTTCCCCAGTCCTCTGTATTCACAGAAAATACACTAATTTGCCATTCAAAAATTTATCTTACCAAAATTATATCTTCCTGACTCCATCCTGCTAGTCCTGACTGGCAGTCCTGCTTCTTCATGTCCAGCAGTCTGTCCTGCCCACACATCCCAGACTACACTTCCCAGAAACCTTTCCATCCAGAGACAGTGCTAGACCTCCCATGCCCACATCATACCTCAAACCCCAGTCCTAATTCAGTTTAACCTGTCCTGTGGCATAGCTTGGAGAATCTAACCATCACAGGATGACAGCCAGTATCTGTAGGAGACAGTGTCTTCTATGAAAATTTGTAATTATAGTATCAAAGATTCAAATTAAATTAGCATTATGACTGGGTCCAAGTTTAGGATGTAGGATATACTGACAGAGGGCTTGGACTATAAGGGTGGGCTGTAGGATCTTGTTTTAAAGCAAGCTAGTACATCTCTGCTGCCTGCAACACTCATGCCGCCTAACCCAAACTGGTGCTACAGACACAATGCCAAAGCACCAGCAAAACCAATGTAATCCACTATCTTCAAGTGCTACCAGCCATCGTCATAACAAAGAAGCTTTCTACAAAATTTTTATTTCTGCTACTAGACAAAACTGCAAGTCTCATCTACTTAAAGCAGCTTTACTCTCAGAGCTACTAAATACCACCAGACCTTTCCACTCTTAGGTCTTGTTCTAGACATGCCAGCTTTACTGGATCTGGAAACCAACCGATACCTAAATCACCTTCTTTCTGAATTCAGTCAACCCATTCCTCACCTCTCATCTTTGCCCTTCACCATTTACCCTCTACAACCCTTAGAGCTCTTACAGTTGAAGCTCTTAGAAAACCAGCCCTCAAAATCAGGCCAGTGCATCTGGCAGGATCCAGCAATCATGCATGCTCATAAGCTCCTCCTGCTTCTAAACTATCCCTCTCTGGAGGTTACCACAGGCCAAGGACTCCAATCCATTTGAGAACATGATGTTAACATGACAACGACCTACAATAAACACATGGTGTCTGTAACCTGTCAATAAACCAAGCCCACATGCTTCAGCTTTCCTGTGTCCCCGTTCTAACTACACTTACTACAGTTTTATACCTATTATATGATCTCAAAATAAATTAAGAGAGCACCTGCCCACAACACTAGTTTTTACCTCCTTTCCCTTGGTTTTAGGATCTGGGGAGCACTTACCTTGCATGGCCCATTAAGTTTCCAATGCTACCTCTCTAATCTTGATCCCCAACACCAACAGATACTCAGACAATTTTCAGGAATTAGAAAACTAGAGACTTTTTTTTTTTTTTTTTTCTCCTCCATAACTACAAATTAGACTCACTGTTATCTGATCCATTCTTCTATCTTCTACTATTGTCAAAAAGGATTTATTGTCTGTCAGTATAATCTATGTTTAAGTTTTTTAAAGGTACTTATCTCAGTGTGTAAGAGTAGAATTCATCTGCCCTGTTTCAGCATTTGACGTTAACTGCCAGTCAGTCTCCTTCAGCTTCCTTTGTAGTCAATGGAAATAATTAGGCACCTTGGGAGGCTGATTCAACTCATTCTGAGATACTTATCTAACACAAGGCATATGAATAGCCCTCTGAGGCTGTGCATTTCTTTCCACTGGATATAAAGGGATTCAAAAGGAAAAAAAAATACTTAAATGTTTAACTGCAGATTTTAAATTAAGAATTAATCCACCTAACCTACTGTTGTTGAGATTTCCTCTTCAACAACACTGCAGAACTTCAGCATTTTAATATATGATTCATATGGAAAGCAAACACACGGAAGCTACTGCAGTCACTGCCACTAGTGATGATGAAGAACAAGAAAAGTAAATTCCTGATGGCAGAGTGGGAGTGTTCTTCACAGATATCCTATTTTTGTTAACAAAGGCTCTCCTTCAGGTCCCTCTCATTTGAATACCCGAGGTTTAAAGCACTGAGCACTAGCTTTTTTATTAATTTTTCTTGAAATGTCTTTTTTTTTTTTTTTACCATAACACATTGTCATGTTCAGCAGAGACAGAAGAAGCCAACTGATTGAGTAACATTCTAAAATGGTCAGTGATAGCCTTTATTCTTGTTATAACCGAAAGAATAAACAAGCACCACTAAGCAGCAGAGAAGTCAGTATTTTATTCAAACAGATTTAAAAAATCCCATACATGCAAAACATGGCATGCTGTACAAAAACCATTGTTGAAACCATCTATTTTTTAACTTCTTCCCAATTTGAGAATAACAGGTCACAAGAACTTACCTGCTCTACAGTGCTCTACAAAACACTACAGTCCTGACAATACCTAGAATTCATAACCTAATCTAATCAGAAGGAAAGCACATTTTGTACAGTGCATGGAAACAACCACCCCTTGAACCCAGCATGGCCATAGTCCCTGATGGTGTAGATGCACACCCCTCCACTCATTTGGCCCAGCAGTGCTGAAGTCAACAGGAATTTTGTGAATCATTTCAGTGGAAACAGATTCTGTGATAACACGGACCTCTGAAAGGAAGGAGGCAGTCCTTCCTGTATGAGTAAATACATAAAGCTGACGCAAGTATAAAGCGCAAAGAAAGAAAAGATGAACTGGATTATAGCCTAGTTCCTTCAAAATGAAAACACACCTTACAGCTTCACGTACATTTCCTTTACTAGCCAGAAAATGTCTCTTTGAAGAAATCTGTTCAAATCCTTCTCATACTAACTCTTCCTGTGGCTGAAGAGATTGTATTATTTCAGTTGTTAGGAAAAATAAGATTAATAAATTCTTCAACTGGAACAATTTAAACTGTCTATCAAACCATAACTTAATCAAATGCTTATTCAGTTAGCATTTAAGACCTATTTCTGAACTGAATGAACAAATAAAATGTAGCATAGTGATGTTTTACATTTCTTAATATATTTTAGTCACTTCAATTATAATTATTTTGAATACTCAGGAGATGTTAATAAGCATAAATTTTGTGTGTGTGTGCACATGCAAGCACAGATACAAAAATTCACATATATACACAAATATATTCAGGAAGAATCTAGATAAAATTAATGAAAACATAGTAAGTACAACATAGCAATTAAGTATATGAAATGGATAATTAATTTCTGCAAAGACTGCAAGTGTCCTCTTTAATAAAGATATTAACTGAAAGTATGATCTGAAATAAATATTTCTACAAGACACTTTGTTTTGCAAAAATCACTGTCCTTCTCAAGCAATATTATTTCCTTTTAAAATGTGTTATTTTGAAAATAGAAATCAGATATGAAAAACGCAAAGATGGCTGATTTCAAAAGGTATCACTTGTCTACAGAACTATTACTCCAATGTTTTTAACATGCAATATGTTATCAAAATCAAGTAGAAATTACGTGTTCCCAATCCTCAATTCTCCAGGAATTCCTTGGTTGACCATTTTTTCCAGTCCAGTCAGGAGGTGACCATCTCTACCACATCTCCAAACAATGAAAAGAGAGCAGTCCCAGAACAGAACACATCAAAGAAACAGCCTGATCTCATTACTCTGAACTGCTTGTGTGAGGAACCAACACCCACCTTCCCCTAAAGAAAGATGAACATTAAAAAGTCTCCTATGTTATGCCTCTAAGTTAACATGATGTGAATACCCACCACAGCACCCAAATTCCAAAAAGAATAAAAAGGAAGACTCAAGCAATGCTGCCCTGAAAAACTGGTTCATTAAGAACATACTTTAAATGGCTGGTCATGAGAATTAGGAAAAACAAATTTACTCCCTTTATCAGATAAGCCTCACTAAAAAAGAAAAGACCAAAAGTAACACACTTCAGACATACGTATTTCCAACTCCCACCATTTCTCTTCTGGTGATGTCTGTAGCACAGCATTCAAGATAAGGAAATGCCAGTTTCAGTCTCAGCTGAATGTTCCTTCTCCTGGTGAAACATTTAGTAGACATTCAGGGCCTTGTTTCGTACAGCATTACCTTTTATCTCATCAGAAAGTGTTTAACCCATTCACTTATGAAAGCAATATAAAGGTTTCTACTGATTTAATTTGGCTACAAATCAGATGCCAGATCTATCACACACACACAAGCAAAAAAATAATCCATCTCTGCTTCATAGAAAACTTCTTTATAGAAAAAGTAACCATAATGAAAACAGACTTCTGATAACAGAGAACACCTTAACTGGAAGAAAAATGTTAATGAATACGGATTGAAACAGATTTTTTTAAAATCCCTTTTTCTTTTACTGTTTAAATAAAAGCTTATCAATTACTGGGAAAATGTAGACATGAAGTTGTAAAATTATGAAATACATAAAGATGAAAGCAGTTAAGCATTTTAACATTACATTTGTTCATAAGATCATTAGAATCAACTCTTGGGTTTCTTCTCCATCATCTCTGGATGGAACAACTCAGGTCATTGCTTTTTCAATTTACAGAATAACTCCAATCCTTTAACTTCTGTAGGCTCTCCCACTGATTAAAAACAAAGCAAGTCCAGTATAATAAATAACATTAGTTCTTAAAACAGTATGGCAACCCATAAGGCTGCCCTATCGAGCTCTGATGAAAAGGGTTTCATCAGGAGTTGTAGGACAATTCTCCTCCTCAGTAACAGTCTCTACTGTGCCTGAAGCAGATACAATCACTACCGTTTTAGCTGCCGAAAGAGCTTTCTCCTTCTCCGCGATGGCAGCACAGACTGCCACAATTTCATCACTTTCAAAGTCATAGTCTGGAATTGATTCTTGTGCAAGCTCTTTTTCTTTTGCCAGCGTTTGCACTGCCTCAGTCTTGGTTGCCTTCTGCTGTTCATGTAGTTTTCTCGCCCAGGAAAGGTCCTCTTTCCATACTTCAGGGTTCATTGGAAAGATGTGTAAGGACACCTGGAAACTTCGGATTGCCTATAAACAGAACAGGGAAGAAACAAGGACTGGACGCTTCAAAGCCTACACATTTCATCATAGATATTAACAAAAAAAAAAAAAATTATGTACATTATTCAAGCAAAGACAAAAGTGATTGTACTCTACTCTGTCTTTAGTGGAACAATCCTCCCTCAGCTGTAAGTTCAAGAGCAGCGTCACCCCCAAACAACTGTGCATACAAGTGTCTGAAAATAGCAAGAATGCATTATCAGGTACCTGGCAACAAGGACATAAATAAGAGTTAATTCTTATTAAAATAATTGATTTTAAGAGTTCACTATTATTAAAAATAATTAAAATTTTAAAATAACATTTTAATTTAAAATGTAAAAGAAAAAACAATTTTTGCTTTGATGGTTTTCTATCTCACTTTTCTCCTATCATCAGATATGCAGGAAGGCAAATGCAGAGATACAGTTTAAAGAAATACAGAAAAGGTATGACTGGGATTTGAAATATCACTAATAATACTAGTTTTAAATCGTCATGTAGTCATTTCACACACAGACTTAATACTATAGTAATCCTAGCCCTATGATAAGCAGTCTCTGTAACAGGTTTGTGGTTGCAAACACACTTACCTGAACAGGTAAAAGTGGACAAACAACCTACCAACTTGGAATTTGCTCTAAAAAATAACTCCTATAATCTTATAAACCACACAATATTAATACAAGTAAGTATAGTTGATACTGTTTCTCCTGTCTTTCAGTTCAATGGGGAGAAGTCTCACAAATACTCAACACGGAAGTTGTTAAATATAGAAAAATGTGACCATCTAATCCAGTAAATGTGATATTTGGCAATGAGATTGCTACAATACTGGAAAAATGCTAGACCAAGAATTACAACTGTATTCTATTTATTTAACAGCGAAAAGTAAGACTAACCTTACCTACTCAGACTCGGGCATATGTGTATTTCATGTTTATGACTGTATGGTCAGTTATGGACCTGAGTGACCAAACTCATGTGACAATGTACAAATCCTTCCTGTAAGGTGGGGAACAGTGATGATACAGATTTGGATTATATTTGGGAAGAGTTCTAGCAACTTGCATATAAAGACTTTAAGGACGTATGAACAACCACTGAATTTCATATTCTGCTGTAATTTATAAATACTTAATGCATGCAAATTAATTTGGAAAATCCTAAATTTTCATCTGAATTGACAGAAACTGCCAATTCATACTTCTGTTAGCAAAGATTAATATACAAAATCCATATGACGTGAACTCAGCAGACAATAGATATAAATCAGATTTAAGAAATGCTGATTATTCTATCAGTATTACTGCTGTTGTAATAGGCAGCCTTTCAGTTCCAGGAAAACAACCCAAATATTTTATTATTGGTCCAGAGCCAGTTCTGAAGTGTAGGAGCATGCTGAACTTTAAACAGAAGGAAGAGTGCAGTTTAATTCTTGCAAAACAGTGTCATTTTATTCAACTTTGCTAGCTTTCAATTTCAAGAGACAGATGATCTATAAGTAAACACTAAATGCATTTTTTGTATTTTTGTTGAAAACAAAATATAAACAAACATCATCTGCTTTTAAGCTTTCCATGAAAGAGGCCACCTAATTAAAACCTATCTATATAGTTATGTTCATCCACAATAAAAACATTAAACACAGTAATCAAATATAAGGTAACATCTGATAACCTTCGAAGCTGCCTTGATGATACGCACAAGACAGCATTAAACAATCACCTCTGTAGATCTATTAGAAAAAAGATTTGGTGTGTGACATTTGTATAAATAAAATAATAAATTTTAAGTGCTGAAAAAAATCAGAGGGATTAATTTTAAAGCAGCTATACTGAAAAATACAGAATTGTCATCCACCTAAATTTTCATGTTGCCACTGTAACTGCTTGTACAGTCATTAATTTCTGTTAAAACAGACGAAAATAACAGTGCTACTTTTGATTCTCCCCTGATGGAGATGTAAATTTCCTTCTTCAAATGCCTGCCTGGCATTAGAGGAAAATGTGTTGGCATTAGATAAACTTGGTATTTCTAGCCTCATTTGAAAGGGCAGCTGTGGTCTTAGAGACCCTGCTTGTAAGGAGTAGGGGATTTTAAATGAGTTCGTAGTCACATACCTGCTTTTGCTTCTGTAGAGGAGGGAACTATAAAATCTACTGCAAGGTGTTCTCACTTGCTGAAATACAGTATTTGAAGAATTTGTCTTTTTAAAATATTTCACATTTTGTCTCACTATATATAGGGTATTCTGTAGCAAACAATCTTTCATTTGTTGCATGACCAGAATTTCTTCTAGTTTGCAGTCTTTAAATGTGAAGGGCAGTTTTGATCAGATGCTTCTTATAGCATGTTTTTCTAACACATGGTCTTAGTAATTATCACAATACAGTGACCCATAAAGAAGGTAAGGGAGCATTTTAAGAGGTTATGCAGTTCATATCTGCCCCCAAGGTCTGTATTGGGCCTTTATGTTACATCTAACAGACGCTATCTGACCTATCTCAAAGAATGCCTACCAGTGAAGATATGTATACATAGGTAAGTAATCCTTCTGTGTTTAACGAGCCTTAAATATGCATCCAACATAATAACTGGGGGTACTGATGGATTAAAAACTGAATATAAGCCACAATGTGAGCTTGCAGCCCAGAAAGCCAACCATATCCTGTGCTGCATGAGAAGTGTGGCCAGCAGGTCGAAGGAGGGGATTCTGCTCCTCTACTCTTCTCTGGTGAGACCCCACCTGGAGTCCTGTGTCCAGCTCTGGGGCCCCCAACATAAGATTCCCCTGCTCAAATGAGACCAGCGAAGGCCACGAAGATGTTCAGGGGGCTGGAGCACCTCCCCTGTGAGGACAGGCTGAGAGTTGGGGTTGTTCAGCCTGGAGAAGAGAAGGCTTGGGGAGACCTTATAGCGGCCTTCCAGTACTTAAAGGGGCTACAGGAAAGATGGGGAGGGACTCTGCATCAGGGGGTGTAGGGATAGGACAAGGAGTAATGGTTTTCAGCTAAACTGGTGTAGATTCACACTAGATATAAGGAGGAGATTTTTTACAATGAGAGTGCTGAAACACTGGCACAGTTTGCCCAGAGAGGTGGTAGATGCCCCATCCCTGGAAACATTCAAGGCCAGGTTGGAGGGGACTCCAAGCAACCTGATCCAGCTGAAGATGTCCCTGCTCATTGCAGGGGGTTTGGACTAGATGACCTTTAAGGTCCCTTCCAACATGAATTATTCTAATTCTGTGGTAATATTTTATTGGAATTTAGTCTTATTTTCTTGTACTACTCACCACGAACATAATCAACTAATTTTTATATAAACCTTTAGCATAGAGACACTTATAAAATTCTAGTATATTTAAAGACTCTTTATTACATTTCTCTTCTTTAAAAAAAAAATCCAATTCATTCAGGTATTTTCACCCTAGTTTAATAGTTTATATGATACAATCTGATGGTAAATGTCTTACCTATTTTAACTTTAAACTTTCAAGATTAACTTTTTATGCAACTTTTCTGTTCAGATTATTTCTTCTTTCAAAAAAAATTTCTCTCTGGAAACTTCAGCAAAAATAATTATTGTGTCTTCAAAAATTAGGTGAACACTTAGTATTTTGCAGTTCTTATGTTTACTAAACCATTTTATTCAAAGGTTCTGGTGCTCTCATGTTTTGGAGAAAAGACTTGAAATATAGCAGGCGATTTTCCAGATGTGAAAGGCTACTTCTGCCTTACACCTATTGGAATTTGGTAGTTTTAAACCCACAGAAGTCTCTGTTCCCATTTGTCAGACATCTGTGAGACAATGTTAGCTCAACTCTCCTATGCTGGAGATTTTCCACGGCAGGGAATTTATGCAGCGTGGATGAAGATGCATTATCCCCAGAGGTGACTCAGCCCATGTCCTCCTTGGCCCACAGCGACTGATAATTGGCAAGAGAGGCCAGAGGACATGTGCCTGAGCTTGGCAGGATGAAAACAGAACAGGAATGTAATGGCCTGTGGCAACTGATAGAAAAACATCTCCTCAGTTTCTCTGGCCCCAGGTACACGTCTCTGTGCAAACCAGAGTTTCAGAAAATTTAAGTCAGACACTGTGCCCACTTCAAGTTTCTCTTCAGGGTGCCTCTTCCTCACTTCCACAGCTTCCTTCTTCCTCTTCTTTTGATGAAGTTTCCATCCTCTTTTTGTGCATTCTTTTGCTTTGGTATTGTACTTCCATTTCCCAGATGTCCTTTTGCACCAACTCACGTCTTCCCAGCCCTCTTTCCTCACAATGCTTACTACCTGTCTGCCTTTACACCTCAGTGAGCATCCATCCCCACAAAACACTGCAGCATGCTCTGCAGGAGTCACTGTTTCAGGCTGTCTCTACCATAGAGATCTCTATGCTATGCTCTACTACATGCATGGACATAATCCAGAATGATCAAGGGAACCAAAAAAAAAAAAAAATCTATCCCATTCTAGAAATTGACATATTTAGCCCAAGAAAATTAAACCTGAAGTGATACGAATGTTCTTAACTTGTAAATCAGGGAAATCCAGGAGGATGGAAAATGTTTACCTATCACCAAATTATCCTGCTAAAATTATTACAAGGAATTTTAAAATAATGGTGAAACAACTTTCTTCCCAACCCTAGTTTGTCATATATTCTAACACTTTTAATTACAACATCAAAATGTTGAGAAGATGAACTTCATTACCATGGTTAAAGTCTCAAAAGTTCTGGGCATTCAAAAAGAATAACTAACAGGAGGTGGCCAGCTAAGTTAGTGAGTAACACTCGCAAGAACTAAGTACCCTTGCCAGAAATGTAGCAGAAAGGGCATTTAAACTTTGAGACTTATTTGCCCTTCTGCTTTCTTGACTGGAAATTAAAGTCACCTCTGAGTAGAAGATATTTTCATGCCTTAAAAAAAATCATTGGGTGGGTTATCAAAACATTTATGACTTCCAACAGTGGTTTTAAAAAAAAAAAATTACACTTTAGTAGGTGGAGACTGCAGGACTAACACAGAACCTCTGGGGAAGCTAGTATTAGTGGGCATTAACTAGTATTACCTATAACTGCGTAGGAGTGTTTAAAGCTGTTGAAAATAATTTAACAGAACCTCACTGAAAAAGCATTTTATTTTCTAAATTAATACTTCCCAAATACTATCTGATAGACTGTGTATGTGGCTGGAGTGTGGCTCAAGATGGAGTCAGCCAGACAGAAATATACCCTGTCATGTTCTATTTTCAAAATAAGTATCTTTTATCAAATCCAGATATGGAAGGCAGTATCATTTAAAGTGTGACACAAAAACTATAAATGGAATAACAAGAAATTCTAGGCCAAAATTACAAAACAAATAGCGATTTTTAAAATTGCATTGCCTCTTTTTCATTTATGCACATAAGAAGAGTATCAACTACATTAATATAAAGTAAAATATTTCATCACTATAAAACAATCCAAACATTTCGCTGTACTTAGAAGGAAGATTACCACAGCAGCATAATTAAATATTTTCATTTCATATAAACCTATAAAAATAAAATCTGAGTTATTTATCCCATCAAGTTGATAGAAACACAATTTGAAGCACAGACTTGATTGTTTTCCAGTGGAAAGCCAACCATCAGTTTCCTTTCAATTAACAAATTCTTTATGTTTCTATATGCTTACATTAGTATCATTTTGAAAAATTCCCTCGAATTCAGAATTAGTTATGTTAATTAGCTGGATTCCAAGAAGATGCAGTAATTCCTCTCTTTGCTAATCACATCATTATGTAAAAGGCCTAAAACATATATCTTTCAAGATAAATAAAAGGGCTAATGTGAGGAATCACATTGTCAAAATTTGATTCCTTTTACAAAACACAGTATCATACTTAAAGACTGCTAAACCACTCAACTACTTAGTAAAAAAACACATCCTTCAAAACAACAAAAAACATGCACAAATGGTCCATATTTACACATCTGAGCAATTAACTTTGTAATTGTCAGAATTCCAGATTTGACACAGAGGCCCCAGCTCACAACAGGGTAAGTTTAAGTCACAGATTCACAGAATGGTTGAGGTTGGCCGTTGGCCAGGACCTTCCAAGGTCCTCTGTGCCAACCCCCTGCTCAAGCAGAGCCACCTGGAGCTGGCTACCCATGACCATGTCCAGATGGCTTATGAATATCTCCAAGGTGGGAGATTCAGTCACTTTCAGTTAAGTCTTTGGTTTTTTAAATGCTGCTTTTGGGTTTTTGTTTGCTTGGTTAGTGAAAGTGTGGGGCTTACTCTGTGTCATGGGAAGAAGTGTTCTAACGAAGATTATCAGTGTGAAATTGTTACTGCATATATTGTCATCACCAGTACAGTAAACACCATTTGTAAAAACAAACAATTACAATTAAATGAGATAAATATTACAAGCCTGACTATATTTCTACAGTTTCTACATTCCTGTTGCTAAGTATACTCAGGTGTGTTCTTGAAAATTGATTTGTAGAATTCATGGAATTACTGTCTTTACAGCAATAATGTTATGCCTGCTCACATTTAAGTATTACTGTTGAACTACCCTAATTAGTAAATTCAGAATAAAAGAGCAAACAGCTTTTGTAAAAGATAAATAGAAAGGGAGTAATTTATCTCACTCTTTCTGTCACAAGTTTGACAAAACCAAACCAAAACAAATCTTTCGTTGTTTGTAAGAAATTAATACATTATGCAGCTCATAATATAATTAGACTTGTTTGGAAGCTGTATTTTAGACCTGGGAAACCTGAAATTAAAATACCATAAATTTTTTCCTAAGAAAAAACTCATCATTCATTGTGAAGTAATAAAAATATTTACAGCAGACCATTTGGCAGGATGTGGGTAGTGAAGACAGACACTGGTGGGGGAGAAGTGAAACAAGAAACAGAAGAAGCTGCTCTTGAGAAGGGTAGTAATTCCCCAATCTCAAACATTACTAAAAAGCCATGACATTTATGCTCTATTAACTTTTCTTTCTAAAAAATATAATGCAGTGAAAAATTAGAAAATCATGGTAATGAAAGACTAATGGAAAAAGGATAATTATGATTTAGATCACTCAGTCAAGAAGTCTCCCCAGGTTTAACAAAGGTTAACCAGTATGGGTATATCAATATGTATCGTTCACATTACAGTAACAGATTTTTTATAGAATAAGCAACATCAGTTACCTAGCATCCTTGCAGAAAATAAAACTTTTGAATTTCCTGAGACATATAAAAATCTCAGATATAATTTACAGGGACAATTTCAGACACGTAAAAAGAAAACAAGAAAATATTTATTGATTTTACATCCAGTCAGGACAGACCATCTACTCTTACCTTCTATATCACAAAAGCCATGGAATGTGACCAGTTATGTGACGCAGATATGCATGAATTTATATTAAATATTTCTTATTATGATACTGCAACACAAGGTAGCACAATACACATCAGCAACACACAGCTTTTGTCTTATGTTATTCTCACCATTTGGGGGTTTTTGTTTTGTGGGGCTTTTTTAATAGTACTCCTTACTACATTTTTAAAAGAAACTGACTTTGTGTGATCTGCCTCCCTCAAAAAAATCATAATTTTTTTATTCTTGAAAATTTTCAGTCCAGACATTGTAACTTTGCAAAAACACTCTAAATTAATGACAAAATTATTGATATCAAACCAGCACACAGCTACTTCTATCAGAAATAAAATAAAGCCACTATTTCTTTTATGTGAGAGCTCACAATGATTTTTCTGAAGGTCTTTGGTGAACGTGTCTGAATTAAATGAGTTCACTTACTGTGTTTCCACACTAATTAGCAGAAAACTATACTATGTATGTTACATTATTTAGAGGCCTATATCTATATGCGGAGGCTGATCTGACATGGGGGAAGAGTATCCCTTTGCACCACATTATCTAGTCAACACAGCACCATGGTGTGCAGCTGCAGCTAAAGAAATGATGCACATCAGCTACTGCACAGCATCCCAGCCTCTTAGCTCTCTTATTAAGAAAAGAAGCAACTTCAGCCAACATTTAGGGTCAAGGATCCAGAAGAAAGCATGAATGACCACACATGATTTGCTGCACCTGAAGCAGGGGAGTAGGAGACAGGGAAAACAACATACTAGAATTTTATTAGCAGGCATGTATATATGATGGAGCAAGTGCAGAGGAGGGCAACAAAGTTCCTGAAGGGCCTAGAGAACAGATCCTATGAGGAGTGATTAAAGGAGCTGGGACTGTTTAGCTTGAGGAAGAGAAAGCTGAGGGGAGACCTCATCACTCTCTACAGCTACCTGAAAGGACACTGTAGAGAGGTTGGTGCTGGTCTCTTCTCACAGGTGATTAGTGACAGAACAAGAGGGAATGGCTTTAAACTGCAACAGGGGAGGTTTAAACTGGACATTAGGAAAAAAGTTTTCAGAGAGTGGTCAGACAGTGGAATAGGCTGCCCAGGGAGGTGGTGGAGTCACCATCCCTGGATGTGTTTAAGGGTCGTTTAGATGAGATGCTGGGTGGTAGGGGAGAATTTTGTAGAGTAGGGCTGATGGTTGGACTTGATGATCCCAAGGGTCTTTTCCAACCTGAATGATTCTATGATTCTGTAAGGGATAACTGAGCCCGAGTATCAGCTGGGACTTGACACAGTACCTTCATCTTTAAACTATGGTGAGCTGTGCTGTACAGTACCCAGAATGTAGTATGTGTAGTTATGTCAACATAATTATTCTATTGCATAAAGACACCATGTATATAGTGTATAACACAAAAGGCTTAGAGCTAGGCAGGTCCTCCACAAGCCCAGCAACAAAACCACACAGGAAGCATTTGTGAAAAACAACAAAATAGAGTGGAGATAAATAACAACAACCTTTTGCCTTGCCTGCTTTCAGATTACATAAGGATATTCAGCTACCTTAATGTTTGTCTACTTTCATTCTCTGACACACAATACAGAGGATGTGGTTTACAAGTTTAGCCTATTATTGTTGTTCATTTTCCTACCAGTGCTATCTCTCCTAATCCAAGCTGGGCACGTCCCAAAGTCTGCCAGGCATCCCAGGAACGTGGGTTTCTCTGTACAGCCATTTCTGCTGCATGTACTGCTGGGAACATTTCATGTAAAGACATCAGGACCTATGACAGAGAAAGAAAGATAAGAGGAAAAAGAATAAGCAAAATTGAAAACAGAATTACATTTTCTGGTATTAACGAGGCCACCATTATTGTTTCAATAACTACGGACAGGTTCATTTTACCTATCTTTTTCTAGTTTAAAAGTTACCTAATCTCAGATAGTCACCCAGACACATTCCATAGCCCACAGAGAGAAACAGGCATGTTAGAGGATGATTCACCTGAACTATTTAAGGGATTTTATTAAAAATAGATTAATCGCTTCTGAAGGTGTGCCTCCCTCTCCCTTCCTCCCTAAAAAGCCCACATTCTGTAAAAGCATAACAGAGTACACTAAAGGACAAGCACATTGAGAATGAAACACAATACATAAGCAAGTATATTGTTAAAAAATTCCAGGTTGTATTTTTTCTGTTTAACAGAAGACTAGAATCTACCAAATAGAGTTGCAGTGCATGTAATATAATTACAGAAACAATCCCTGTAATTCAGCATGGAAACAGCCCTTAACAATGACTGTTGTATTTGAAGAGTAAGCATTCTGCAATAGTAAAGCCTTAGACATTAAGTCACCTACATTCAAAAAAAAAAAAAAAAGTGGTTTCTGAATGTGGTAATCTCTTTTACTCAGCAGTACAGGTTAGTGTCAGTCTGTTACCACAGTATTCTACTTCTTGCATTGAATCTCCATAACTAAGCCTATAAATCATAGTTAACAATACATAATATGGCTCAAAGCTTGCCTTATTTTTCCAAGACCACCGTGAGATTGGCACATTACCTGAAAACCTGCATCAGTCTGAGATCATGATTTCAGACACCCACATGCTATGGTGATAGATACCAGTATAAGAAACAAACGACAACTGCATTCCTAGAGTATGATGAGAATGTCAACCACAAGAGTAAGACTCATGTGTGGGCAACCACTTTCATCCCAACTGACCCTCAAGTATGATGAATAATATTAGAATATATTAGGACTATTGCTGCATTGCAAAAAGCATTTATTTAACCTTACTGTTCTATGATATATTAAATAGATAAATATTAGTGTGGAGTAGAGGAGGATTCAAATGCAATAATCTTGTGTATTTAATTAACATAAAGTACTTGCAGAGCACTTGATTGAGTATAATTTAAAAAAAAAAAAAAAGCTTTACTACAAAAAGTAATCTTGTACCTAAGAACCAGAGGAAGTATAGCTTTCAATAAATCCTTTTGTATCCATACTCATGTGGTTTTAATAAGACTAAATTTTTCTGAAGATAGTCTTATGGCTTCTCTTTAATTTCACTTTAAAAGGCTGTACACTGGAATTAGAAGCTCCTAAAAATCTTTTAAAAAAACAATAGCTGTACGTCATGTCATTTTCCCTTTTTTCTTCAACAGTTCTCAATGACTGTGCTTTGTAAGTGAAGTTTGTAATGAATACTATGTATTTTTCCAAAATCTTCAGTTCAACTGCATTTTTATGTGCAGTTTCTCTTAATTGCAGCAGATCTGTAAACTGAATCAAACCATTACTGGTGGATAGGCGTACGTCCAGCCAAGATTAAATGACTCTGCATCTATCAGCTAGTTTTTACATTAATCTCTTAACGTGTTTATTATCATAAGAGAAAACAAATACAAGTATACACTCACCTGAACATTTTTATGCATCTTGAGTATTCAGTGCTTCCTACCAGTACCTTCTACTGCAACACAACTCCAAAACATCTATGTAAGTATTTTAAAAATCTTTTGTACTTTTTAATGAGTTTTTCTGCTTTGTTTACTGAACTGTGTTGTTTAATAAAAGACAATTATTCCACTTTCATCTACTTATGACCACTGTAGTACTAATTTAGACAACTGCTTTAAAAATTCTCTTCCACATCATGATAGTAATTACTGTGCTCCTAGTAACTATGACATCAGCTACTCAAGGTACATTCAAACAAGTACAAATTTGAATGTATATGCATTTTGTCTGGCACATGTGTGGTTTTTTTAGTTATTAATAAAATGACCCAGCTAAACTTGTCAATTAAAATAATAAATTTATTAAGGCACACTATTTTTCTGCACTTTTGTTTTCAAGTGAAGAGATCATCAAAATGAACATACGATATGTGCAGCCCTGTCTTGGGTTACTCTACCTGTGATGTTATTGTCACTTTAATAAAACACCTCTGCATGCTAGATACCAGTGTTACTTGAAAACTGAACCACCAAACACTCAGTTATTCTACAGTGCAAAGTCATGCTGAAGAAAGCAACAAAACCCACCACTAGCATAAAGGTACCTTCCGCACAGATTTGACAAGAGTTGCTCGGTCCTTTCACTGTGGCAGGCCACGTGGCCCAGACAAAGCCAGACAGGACCCACATGTGCTGTAGCCCCCTTTGTCATACAACATGCCTGTCACACAACACTCAATGTAGAGCCATGTCAAGCACCAAATATATATGTATATACACCATCCCCCAATAAGACACAGACCAGTGTGTCCTCCATTTCATAAGTATGGTAAGTACCTAAAGGGTTACTTTACACATGTTCCCCTTAGACAGGCTGTGTCTGAAAAAGAGGGAAGCCAGGTAGTATCACCAGTAACAAAAACCCACAGTCATACTTCTAATTCCACAGACAGCATTTCATGCACAACAGATACTTCAGTATTTATACATTTATAGATGTGATATGCTATGCTATGAAATGCTACACAATGATAAAATATATCATACAACGCACAATACGATGCGATACGCAATACAATATGTAATGTGATACACGATGCAATGCATGATGCGCGATACGCTACACGATACATATGATATAAGATACGCTCTATGCTATGCTATGATAATCTTGAGTTCTGCATGACAATACAAGATGTGAGGCTTATTTTCATGGATGCAGCTACTCTGAAGTACTGCTTTTATAGCATTTCAGATCTTCCTGTGTAACTCATCACTAGTTTAAACATACTTAGAACTGAACCCCCCGCCTCCTTCCCAAATCATCTTAGTTCATTTTATCCGTAGTGCTGTCGTTTCCATGACAGTATCATTTTTAATTTTCTCTTCCTTCACATAAATTTAGTCTACATTTACACCGTGTGTAAGAGCAAGGCTATTTTGCTATTTGCAAAACTCTTTTCACTGTCTTGACTATGTTCTTTACTGTTGGTTTCCTTGATCCCTACACATCACACCATAATGGACCGAAGGCCATTTGACTTAATACGGAATTAGAAGCTCAATGAATGTCTTGTTCAAAGTCTTGCTCCCACCTTCTACCACATACAACTTGATTTTCTCCTCTCAGTGATCTATATTATTTGTTTCCTTTTATTTACCTCTTTTTGAATAAGTTACTCTTATTTGCACCAACAAAGCATCAGCATAATGGTCTATTTTTCTGCTTCTTACAAAGGTGCCCCCAGGTCTTCTTTCATTGCAGTCTATATACTTGAGCTGATGAGAAAACTATTATCTTTTTGTTCAGATGCATGACTGAAACATGAATCTGAAAGCCAGTAGCAGTCCCTACACCCAGTTTTAGCAGAATGCTTGTTGCTACTCTTACCTTTGCTCAGTTTTATCTCATCAATCATTTACTATCTCTGTAAATTTGTTTACACTTAGACATTTAACTTCAGTAACTGTTTTAAAACAGTAGGATAAATAGAACACATCCCCAGGGGCTCCCTCCAAAATCAGCACGTTCTTTGATTTGGTTGAATCCTTTCACAAGAGTAAAGTGAACTCCTCCATGTGGAGAGCATTTCTTGATGGGAGCTCCACTGTACAGCTACTTCAGTACAATTGACTAAACTGCAAGCCATCATCCGCATTAATCAAGAGCTGTATATAATTACATTACTTCATCAGTAACTTTGTGCAACCTCTTTTGATTCAAGTTACATTTACACCAATTTCAATGTGGTTTTGGTGGGGGTTTCTTGACAGCAGAGGTAATTGTCACCCTTTGCTAGTTACTTCCTGCAAAACATTCAGATTACTAGTAAAAACAGGAACAAACAAGCATGACTCTAAAAAGGTCACAAACCATTATAATAGAGTAGTCAGACATAACATTTATTTTTTAAACAGATACTTTTTAGAGAAACTAATTCAGTTGCATTAGGGTATTTTTCAATAATCAGACAAGGTGCTTCACAGAGGAACTATGTATCAGTGAAAACTCCACTTAAAACCCTCTTCCTCAGTGTTTTAGCATGAACTTCAGAGTCTTTAGATAGCCATGCATTCAGAAAAAAGGCACAAATATAACCTTGTCATTTGACAATATGAAGATACTAAGCTTTTACTTATCAAGATTATGCTGGGGAAAACCTTCATGAAAGAGACAAATCTACCAGCAAAATAGGTCTTCAATCTGCTGTGAAGCTATCTATGACACAGAAGTGCTATTTTGCCAGAATAACCCAAGCACAAAGATGAGGATGTGTGTGTTTACTCATAAACACCCTTTTAAGAGCTGACATAATTAAGATTCTATTCCTTTCCTGTCAGACAAATTTCCTTCTTATTAGCAGGATGGCAGTCAAGTTTCAGAGTTAAATAATGTCATTGCATATTTATTTTCCAATTATAGTGATAACACTTAATTAGAAAACATTCTTAAAACTAATCAAACAATTATAAAAAAGACTCTTACAAAGCAGAAAAAACATCTGAAGATTCTCATGTATATTAAAACACCACTAGAAGGAAATGTCTTATAAAGATGTTCAGTAGGTGGACTTTTAGAACTTTATGCCAACACAGACTTAGCATTATCATATGCACTAAAACAAAGAACATCCATGACACTACAGTGACTTAATTTAATAGATCTAGCTTTAAAAAAAAAAAAAAAAGGTGAGACAGATTAGAAGAATTAGAAGAACTCAGTGGCAAAAAACATTTAAACATAGCAACTGTCATAGGGAGACTGACCAAGTATTAAAAATCCAGGCAGCAGAATGACCCATCCTGCCCTACCC